ATTAGGGCAACCCTGAAGTCCTAAAAATGGCTAGTCAGTAGAAAATGGAGTGAGTTGGGGCTAACATTAGTTGGATTCCATTTGCTACAACAAAAAAAGACTTGAGTCCCCACTAGGTAAGATATTGTTGCTAATCTCCATAGGAGATACAAAGATGATTAAAACGCAGTAACTGCCTGGAGGGGCTTACACAGAGCAAAGTGCTGTGGGCTCACCTGGGAAAACCTCAAGGAGGAGGTGGCATTTCCCCTGGGCTTGGAAGGATAGTCAGGACTCCATGGGTCAGGGTAGGAAGGGAGGGGATTCAAGGTGAAAGGGGTGGCAGGAGCAAAAGAAGGGAGAAAAGGGAGTTGTGCAGATGTTAAAAGACCACAAGTAACCTGGGCCAAAGAGGGAGGGTGCACAGTACCGTTGTAAGCCACAGTTTCACCACTGCAAAATGAAGATCTCAGTACCCACCAACTAAAGGGATTTAGCTGATGAATGAAGAGCAAATGGGAAATTGCAGACCCACCAGGGAAGAGGGGGGTAAGGAAAGGACATTTAAGACAGAGAAGTAAATTTCTGAATGCCTGAGGGAGTAGGTCCAGATTGGGGAATTGAGTGTATTTTGGGGTTTCCAGATCATAAGGCATCTGTGGGGAAGGTGGTGGGAAATGAGTGGGAACTAAGGGGGCACTGTAGACAGAGCTAGGAGTTAATCCTCTAGGTCTGGATTTATGCAAGTGGTTAAGACCTTGTAATAGCAAGTAATAATGCTTCTTATGTGGAAAATGAATTGTGATATAATGAGAAATATATATTTGGTCTTTGTCCCCAGTTTCTGACAGAGAGCTTCTAAAACACTTGGCATTTCCTGAGCAATAGGAGCATCTTTCATTATTCATAACAAGACCCTTTCAACCCCACCTGAGTTTATGCTAATAAGGTGACTCTTGGGAATTCCCTGGTGGTCCAGTGGTTAGGGCTCTGCGTTTCCACTGCAGGGGGCATGGGTTTGATCCCTGGTTGGGGAACTAAGATACCTCATGCCACTTAGCGCGGCCAGAAAAAAAAAAAAGTGACTACTGGTGGGCCCCTAGATGCTTCAGGATGGGGCATGGCTGCCAGAGGAACCAACCATGTGATTAGAGGGTTAGAACTCTCAGTCCCATTCCTCAACCTCCAGAGAGGGGAGAGGAACCCAGAGATGGAGGTCAATTAGCAACGGCCGATGATTTAATCATTCATGTCTATGTAATGGAACTTACAATATAAAAAAAAAACCCTAAATGATGAGATTTGGAGAGCTTCTGGGTTCGTGAACACATTGAGGTACTAGGAGGGTGGTGTGCCAGAGCATGGAAGCTCCATGCCCCCCTCTCTATGCCCTATGTCTCTTCCATTTGATTGTTCCTGAGATGTAACCATTATAATAAACTGGTAATGGTAGGTGAACTGCTTTCCTGAGTTCTGTGAGCCATACTAGCAAATTAACAAACCTGAAGAGGGAATCATCTGCAAATATCTTATTTCCAAATAAGGGCACATTCTGAGGTTCCAGGTGGACATGAAATTTGGAGGGAACACTATTCAACTCACTATATAGATATTTTAGTATTGATCACAACTGTTGTTATCATACAATTTTATATCATTGAATTACTTACAGATATTTGTTAATGTAAATCAATAACATTCCTTTATAATAGAACTTAGTCTTGTTTTTAATGTAGTTGGCTCTCAGCTCATCTGCTGAATGAGTAGTTTGTGAATGAATCAAGGTCTCTATTGTCCCAAAATTTCATACAGCAGTTCATACAAGGCACAATCTCTAGACTGACAGTCAATAATGTCAAAGCATTAAAAACAACAGCAGAAACTACAAAATGCAGAACAAAACAACTAATAAACCAATAAAAAGAAAAAAAATTCTCCAACAACTACAGTAAACTTCAAGCAATAGAGAATTCTTGAAGAGCTGTGGGGAAAAAAATCATATTTCAATATTCAAAGGTTATATAAGAGACTCTTCTGTATTTGGTAGAGATGTTTAGTCAGATGAACCAATATCCCTAATGTAATAACTTGAAAATTTTAGATCTCCACGCATGGTGCTTTCTTAAAGCGGGCACATAATCACAATCTCGGGAAAGTCAGAACGAAAATACTTTATTATCCGATGGAAGCAAACTGGTGAGTCTTGCCTTGCATGTTACAGCCATGTCAATTTCAAGTGAGACCATCTAAAACATTGCTATTAACCTAACCACCAATTAGAAAATGTACACATGAAAGTAGATTGCAGCTCATTAGGTGAAACCCTCAATTACTAATTGCAGTGTTAAAATCAAGGTAGGTAAGATGGTGAGTGTGCTTAGGGGGCAGGGTACTAACTGGGAATTCATGTAAAAGTGAGGTTGAGGGAGCAACAAGGGGAACTTTTCTCTTTTTCACACGAAAGGGAAAAGCAACAAGAATCAAAAGAATCTAGAAGGGAACTCTTTACCCAATCCCCACATTTAACCAGGAAGTTAAATGTGGAACTTGAATGTGAGGAAGATGGGCTTAGAGAAGCGATTTGCACAGATTTCCTGACTTCGGATTCACTTTCCATCACAGTGTCCTGTATCTTTTAGAGGAGTTACCAAGACAAACCGAACAGACAATGAAAATAAAAAGAAAGCAACCATAAAGATACCCTGCTGCCAAACTTTCGCCAAATGTCTTAGAGAAATATTAAGTGGTGTGTGTGTGTATTTGAATGAGAATGTGTACATACTTCAAATAGCATAGTTTCCATTTTTAATAAGTGGTATTCAAATGTTTAGTTACATAGTATGTATGTAAGAAAAAATAAAAGACATGTTAACTACTGGCTCATCAAACAAGATCCATGTGACACAATTTACTTATTCTTAAGGTTCTGTAGAGAAGTGTACATATTTTGATATTAGGGCTCAACAAATCCAATTTAAAACCAGAACTCCACTTGAAATTTGGCTAAATGAAATGGTATGGAAAATTGCCCTTTAGTTTTTGTTTCCTTTTTTTTTTTTTTTTTTTAATAATTTTTGGCTGCATTGGGTCTTTGTTGCTATGCGGGCTTTCTCTAGTTGTGGCGAGTGGGGGCTACTCTTCATTGCGGTGCATGAGCTTCTCATTGTGGTGGTTTCTCTTGTTGCAGAGCACAGGCTCTAGGTGTGCGGGCTCAGTAGTTGTGGCACGCGGGCTTAGTAGCGCCACGGTATGTGGGATCTTCCGGGACCAGGGCTTGAACCCATGTCCCCTGCATTGGCAGGCGGATTCTTAACCACTGCACCACCAGGGAAGTCCTGCCCTTTAGTTTTAAATAGAAACACTATAAAACATCGGTTGATTTGAACAACAGGTCCTGTGAAAATGAATCTATAGCAGTCATGGGCAGCAAAGGGTTCTGGGATAGACATCAGTAAAAAATGGAGCAACCACTCTTGGGCATCAGGTTCAATGACCACTTAAATGTCAACTTTTGGATGACCATCTTCACCTGCTTAACCCAGAAGGTAAGCTCTGTGAGAGCAGGACCCCAGTGCTTAGGATGGAGTCTGGTGCAGAGAAAGTGTTTAACAGTATTTGTTGAATTGACTTCTCAAATCTGTTATCTCTTTCACAGACTAATTTAACCAGCTTCAGACCTAACTTTCCAACCATCTTCTGAACACCTCAACCTGCACGTTCCTCTCACATTTCAAAGTGAACACAACCCCACACCAAAATGCATTATTCTTCCCCCACAGTTGTTTTCCCTGTGCTCCTTAGAGCAGCATCGCTGTCACATGATACCAAGTCCAGATAAATCAGCCTCTTGAATATCTCCAGACACCTCTTTCTCACCCTCCCTTCTGAGCTAGTTTATGTAATTATCATCTTTTAATTTTTAGAATTGCTGCCAGTCTTACTCCTTTCTTCAAAAATCCTCAAAAATGAATTTTTTTTCTTTTCCTGAAACACAAATCAATCACAATTGCCTGCAAGAAAGGATCTAAATTCCTTAGTACCTATGAGGGTTTTCATCTGTGCCTACTCCTCCAGCCTGATCTACCTCCGAATCCCCAAACTTTAATCATTCAGAACTACTATTCCCAGAACAACTGCTCTCACATCCCTGGAAGCTTGTTTTTCTCTCTGCCTAGAAAGCACTCCTTACTCCAAATTATCCTCTCTCTTGGCAATTCTTATTCGTCCTTCAAAATTCAAGCCCTTTCAAACCTCTGACCATCACCCTACAAGATTGTTAGGTGTTCCCTCTTTTTGCAGACGTCCACTGGTTTCCACTGAGTCATTACCACGCTGCTGGGCACTTGAAGGCAGGGGCTGTCGTTTTCACTTTTGTCTCTTCAGCAAGCAACAGTACCTCCTCATTGCTTTTGATAGGTGAATGAAGGAATAAATGCTGGGGAACATCATTCCAGGCAATTCCACTCTTTACAGATGGGAAACTGAGGCCCAGAAAGGCAACATGATGTGACAAAATAAAACTAAGAAGAGGGGAAAGGCCTGGCCTTCCAGGCTTTCGGCACCGATTTTGCCACTATAATAAGCCACAATTAGTGATCACGGACCTACCTCTTGCTACATTCAAGACCAGTCTCCGTACTTCAACTCTGGGAGCTAGTACGCAGCTCTCATTGCGTTGAGGTTACTCCTTCTCCTCCCCTCCCCCAGACCCTGCTCCGGTGTTTCCTCAAGGAAAAGCCAACATCCTCTTTCCGCTTTCAGTTGTGGCCTGCAGCTACAGGATTTCTCTCCATCCCTCTCCCCACACCCCTCACGGGACTCCCATTCCTGCAGGGTGACAGTTTGTATCCGGAAACCTAGCGCCCTCAGTACAGCCAGATCGCGGGTGCATTTAGAATTGGGAGGGGCTCTTAACAGAACAGGATAAAACTCAGAGCAACTCCCGCGCACTATTCCGGGATGCTTGGAGAAGTTGATTCACCTCTCCTGCTAATCGGGACAAAAAGGGTTTGTTGCTGTCGCTGAGGGGCCAGATGAGAGGAGGTACTCTGTGACCAAGCCATTTTCTGTGAGAAGAGGAGCTTAGCCCCCCAGAGCTGTGAGACGCCAGGCGGAGGAAGGCGAGGCGGCCCTCGACTCAGAGGCCCGCGGGTCTCCTGCTTCCCGGCGGCTTGGGGGCGGGGCCTCCAGCCAAGCCCCCTCTCCGCCTTCTGATTGGTTCCTTCGAAACAGGCGGCGGCGAACCGCTGCGAAGCTCGAGGCAGAGGCGGCGGCTGCGGCGGCGGTTGGGTAGGGGCGTGCCGGCCAGGCACAGATTGAGCGAAATGTCGCCCCACAGGGAGCAGTGACCCTCCTGCGCCTGGGCGGGTGAGTACTTCTGTTTGCCTTCTCTTTCCTCGCGAACTCTTACTTGCCTTCTCGGGGCTGCCGCGCCTCGGCTTGCGCTCGAGGAGCCCCCAGCGCTCCGCGCAGGGGAAGCGGTGGTTCGGTTGGGGCCCCTAGCTGCGGGATCCAAGACGCTGTCCGATTGGCCCGCTGCGGGAGTCCTGTGCTCTGATTGGTCCCCGGGGCCGTCAAGGTGAAGTTATGCCTGCCTTCCCATGCCCACCCGGGTGCGGTGCGAGGGGCCACAGGTGTGCTGGGGCGGGGGACGGCAGGTGTGGGTGTGCTAGGTTAGGGGAGAGGTAGCGACCCGCTGCCGCTCTGCTTTAGACTCCAAGGAGGGATGAGAGCCTGAAGCTAGTTTAGGCTCTCCAGGGGCACCTTCATTTCCAAGCACCTAGCACATATAGGGTCGCTTGATTCCTTAGTGCCTCCCTCAGCAAGAAGTGATGAAGTCACTGACGTTGGAAGGAGAATGACACACAGTCATTTTGCACTCTGGCAGAGTTTACAGTTTCTTCCCTATTTGTTCCCTCCAGTCGTTGCAAGGCCCATGTCGCCCAATAACTGGAGGCTCTGTTCGATGCTTTCCCCACCCACACGTCTCGGTTTGAAAGGCTGCGTTACGGGGAGGTTTGTAGATTGCCTTGGAAGTCGGAGGAAAGTTTTGGAGGGAGTGCTTGACCATGCAGTCATTCCTGGTTCCTAACTTTTCGAACCACGGGATTGAGTCTTATGGATTTAGAGTGCTTTGTGGTACGTCTGGTGAAGTTGAGTCGTTATTAAGTGAAGAGATTTTTTTTTTTTTTGCAGGCCCTGTCTAGGTCAGAGTTTGGGTTTTGCTTCGTTTGTGTGGAGAGTGCTCTTACCTCCTCTCTCAGAAGATAAGCAGTTTGTGAACTGCTGTCTGATTACCTCACTTGGGACTTAAATAATTAGGAATTGGAATTCTCACCACCTCAGATTCCCTTTGGGAGGAGATTGGAATGGATTTGAATGAAAAAGTGGAAACTGGTGATAGTCGTCTGGTGTAGAATCCTGATACATGTTGCCTGTCTGACTCATCTCTTTCAAAAGCTCATTAAAAACCCACAGATTTTGAATAGTGGGTGTCTCTGCTATTTTTATATTAATGAATTATAAGTAATATTTCTTTTAATGTAGCAGAGTTTCTAAACATGGGGGCTCTGAAATCACACTTTACTATGTGTGTGACCTTAGGCAAGTTACTTAATCTTTCTAAGTCTAAGTTTCATACTGTGCAAAAGAAGGTTAATAATAAATAGTTCCTACCTTATTGATGTGAAGGTTGTTGTGAAGATCAAGTGAAATAATCCATAGTACAGTGCCTGACACATAGCTTGTATTATTTCTATGCTGTTTAATTTGGATTAAAAGTTTCAAGCTATCCCCAAAGGGCAGGCAGAGAGGAGCAGAAGGTGAAGGCAGTGCCAGAGGTCATGGTAGCTGTCATTCGTTGATTAAGTTAGTCCATGTAAAGCACTTAAAATTATTTCTGGCACATACTAAACACTCACTACTGCTTATAACGCATTATTACCTAGAATGTGTCAGGTACTGTTCTAGGTGCTTTACTTATGTTATTGTTAAACCTCTTAATAATCCTGCAGTCTCCTTGGTGTTTTCTCCATGTCATAGATTAAACTGAAGCTCAGAGAAAGGAATTAAGCTACTAAGGTCCACCCAGAATTCAGTCTAGACTGTCTCCAGTGTCCAGCCTCTTTTTTTTTTTTAATCACACTACTCTTGCATTTATATTCCCAGCTATAAGCAACTTCTCTGCAGAGTTGTTTGTATGGCCCAGGTTCATTTCTGCTGTGGGTATCAGTTTATTTTGAATACTTCATTAAAAAATAGTGAGAAGTAACTTGTGATGGTAAATCAAAGTGTGTGATAAGGCAATAATGTCAACAGTATACCTGCTAATATACTAAAAAACTAAATGAGTCCAGTGATGTTTGGATGATTGGTCAGTTCAGAAGTAATGTTTCCTAATTTATATTTTCCCATTTAGTTTTTGCTCATTTACTGTACTTTTTACTAAGAGCACTCTTTTTTTTCTTTCCTGTCAATCTCAATTTAAGTTTGGAGATAAGAATGAAAGTGCAGTTATTTCAATAAGTTTTTTCAATCTGGCTCTTGATGAGGAAAGTAAGGGATTAAGATTAATGTGTATTGTTATGTTTTGCTTTCTTACAGTAACATGGCTGTGTATGTATGTCTATGTATGTGTGTTTTACTTTCTTCCTATTATTCGTTGCTTCCTATACTTTGATATCAGATATACCTTTACATCCTTAATGAACCATGCAGTGTACATAGAATTTGAGAGACTAGGAAACTTGAGTCTGTCAGTCTGTTGTCTCATTTTGAATTTCCCTCTTTTAGTTGAAATGTAACTGCCATAGAGAAATGCCTAAGAAGTAATGTTTATAAGATGCAGGCAATAATTATAATTGTATCTCTTTAGTGTTTCTCCTTCTAAAAACTCATAAAGTTGTATCATGTTATTACGTTATTACAGAGTAGGTGGTTTTAACAGAATGTTGCCATGTATTTCATAAGTGAATTACTAATGTACAAAGACCTAGAATGTATGAAATGTAGCAGAGACATTAAATGCAGTTTTGTTTTTGCTGCTGAAAGTGTCATGGGGATTTACAGTATTAAAACCATCAGTCATATGTTAGATATTGCTGAAGTGCTGATAGAGACTTCTGCCTACTCTCACAAAACATAAACTTTTTTGTAAGAAAGTATAAGCTATGGTGAAGGACTCACTTTATATGGAATTTTAAACATTATGACTTGTGTTTTCCCTTGATGGATGACTTGTTAATATTTTTGATCCCCAAAATAAAATTGGCTCTTGGGGCTTCCCTGGTGGCGCAGTGGTTGAGAGTCCGCCTGCCGATGCAGGGGACACGGGTTCGTGCCCCAGTCCGGGAAGATCCCACATGCCGCGGAGCGGCTGGGTCCATGAGCCATGGCCGCTGAGCCTGCGTGTCCGGAGTCTGTGCTCCACAACGGGAGAGGCCACAACAGTGAGAGGCCCGCGTACCACACAGACACACAAAAAAATTGGCTCTTGAAAAAAATTATTTAACTTTGTTCAAGAGTTTTTCTTTTTCACACACACACACACAGTTTAGAAAACACTGTGATCCCGGTAACATACTTAAATACTGTACTGCAGATTGCTTTTGGTTGCATGACATATAATAGACATCTTTTCATATCAGTACATACAGCTCTTATTCTTTTTTTAATGTTGTTTTTACATTTCTTTGTTACTGTATATGTATGTTTTCCAGAGTCTTTTAGTCTATCATATATAAAGGCAAATGGATTTTAAGTTTTTAAAAAAAATTTTGTATCCCACAAAATTTTATGACAAACTAATAATTCTATCTAATACAAAATTAAATTCTTCAGGTGGGATCTCTGCCAAACATTGCAAAAGGATATTTTCAAATAAAAAAGTAAAGACTCCCAACAAATGAAGAGCCTTTATATTTTGCAGATAACATGTGATGTTTTATTACGTAGTAAGAATCTTATTTCTTCCTCTTAAAAATCTTCATCTGCTTTGGAAGCTACCTTTACCTTAAAGGAATATACCACAGATTTATTTCATTATTGTTTCATATTTCCTTTAGTAATAAATACAACACTTACTGTTTAGGAATAATTCCAGGGCTAAATTTAGCACTGAGTTCTACATACAAGTGGAAGAGATGGAGAAGGTTACCCCCTTACGAATCTTATTTTTTTTTAAGTATAGAGTACAGCAAAATAGAAGCCTATATTGCTATTCAACTTAAACAGGGGAGGAGGTTCACGGAGGCTTTTTAGAGCAGTTGAATCTGAAGGGTAGGTAGGAGTGAGTCTGAAAGAGGGGAGGAAGGAGAGCGTTCCATGTAGATGGGTCACAGAGATGAGAGAGCAGCGTGCTCCACGGGCCAAAAGAAGTTCAACATGGCTGGAGTGTAAGGGTCAGAGGTGGCCGAGGGGATCCTATAAGGCTTTGATGGCTTCCTTAAGGACTTTAGGCTTTATCCTGAAGGCAGTGGAGAGCCATTAAGGGTTTTTATTTGTTTATTATTTCTGGCTGCGTTGGGTCTTCGTTGCTGTACGCAGGCTTTCTCTAGTTGCGATGAGCAGGGCTACTCTTCTTTGGGGTGCGTGGGCTTCTCATTGTGGTGGTTTCTCTTGTTGTGGAGCACGGGCTCTAGGCACGCGGGCTTCAGTAGTTGTGGCTCACAGCCTCTAGAGTGCAGGCTCAGCAGTTGTGGCACACGGGCTTAGTTGCTCCGTGGCATGTGGGATCTTCCCGGACCAGGGCTTGAACCTGTGTTCCCTGCATTGGCAGGTGGATTCTTAACCACTGCGCCACCAGGGAAGCCCCCATTAAGGGTTTTAAGCAGGGAAGTAGTAACGTCCTGAGATGGGAGTTTGTGAAGGCTCACTCTGGCTGCAGTACAGGAACAGGTTGGAGGCATGAAAGGGTAGAGAGAGGGCGACTGGTTGGAGGCTGTTTCAGTAAACCTGGAAAAGGATGGTGGTGGCTTGAACTAAAGGAGTGGCCTTGGGTATTGAAGAGAAAATGTAAAGGTAGAAACAACGAGATATGGCCACTGATTGTTCTGGCTGAGGTAGGGTTGGAGCCTGGGGCGGAGCTGTGAGAGAGGAAGGAGTCCGCATGACCGGGAACTTGGTGAGTGTGGGTGCTGTTCCCTGAGACAGTAAACGCTAGGAGCCTTTGTAAATATTTAAATGAATGATCTCAGATGTACAAAGGCAGGGCCATTGTTGATGACGATAGCACACACACAGCACTCACAATGGCTTTTACCTGTAAATTTTGCATCTTTTTTTTTTTTAAGTGTACTATATACAGCTGGTGCCCTTTACTTGTTGCTTCAATGCATTGGCCTTGCTATGTCTTCTAACCATGTTTGGAT